CGCCTCCTCGGCTTTTTTGGCATTTCACTCCCCGGCCTCTGGCCAACGTTGCGTGGGGGCGGATCCGGGCTGGGGAAGGCACCTCCGAAAAGACCCATGGCCACCCAGTCCAAATGCAAGAGGTTTTCCAAGCCCACCGCACAAGGCAGTCTGTTGCTCCCTTCCAAATTTCTTTTTTTCTCTCTTTTTTTTAGCAATGGAGCCCTGGATCGGGGAAAAGTTTTCTGGAGCCCTTTCCCTTCTGGCCCCGTGCAAAATCGTGCGTATCCATGCAGGCTGACACTCAGACTCAAGCCGTACAGAATGTTTTCAGAGCGCCGGAGTGCTTAAGGAGGGCTCGGGAGCCTCTTCCATTAACGTCTCGGGGCGGCCATTTTGTGCGTGCTTTCCCCCCTTGCTCTCTTTGGCTGCCGGATTTCCCTGCGCGGCCATTTTGTGCCAGATTCGGAAACCACCACCCCCCGGGAGAGAAGCAACCACATTTAAGGCTTGGCGGGAGACCCGGAGATCAGATACCTCTTTGGGTCCCTGCTGCCTTCGCCATGCACACAACAGACTACTCTAAATCCAGCTCCGGACAAAATAACTATCTGCATGCAACGGCTAAACCGGAGGAACCGAGTCTCGTCCCTCTGCCCTCCCCCAAAATGTTTTTTTTTAATCAGTTCTCCATTAGCACACACCAAAAAAAGGAACAAGGAAAAGGCAGAGGAACAGAGTGACCACATCTGGCCCGGGGTGGTGGAGGGAGAGTCAGAGTTAAACCTCTCTCCACCCCCCTGGATTCAATACCATCTTCTTCTCATATCTTGTTAATCTTTCGATTAATTTTTAAAAACTGGGATGAGGAAGAAAGTAAAAAACAATGGCAGGGTTTGTGATGGAGAAGGAAAGAACACAAAGTTCACGAGTTGTTTATTCTGGAAGCAAGTTTTGGCTCCTGCTGCGATCAACGTGGCCCCCTCCAAAAAAATAAATGTGCTCCAGGCCTCCAAACATTCCCTGGAGGCTCCTCCTGTCCCAATGGTTCACTGACACCCACCACCGCCGCCTCTTGCGCGGCTCCAAAACCCCCGGCCGTTTCCCCCACTCCACTCCGCCGGCAACCATTTT